CCCATCTAGTCATATAGCCTACTCTCCATCAGGCTTACTACTACTCTATCCCAAGCATGTTACAAAAGCAATCCATGTTTTTCTTCAGGATACATATGAAGATAAAGACAGATTCAACAACAACAACAACAACAACAACAACAACAACAACAACAACAACAACAACAACAACTGAAGTTAACACTATATTAAGTGAAGATCCTGCTAGGCAGGAAATGAGTCTGACCTGCCTGCTCCTGATTCAGACACTTATCCCACTTTTTTCACTTGCACCACCACATCTTCACAGGCAATGCTCCTACTGATTCCCATTCTGAGACAGGCCAGAAACGCATCCATCAGAAATTGTGCCTTCTCAGCACTGGCACCAGCCCTTTGAAAAAGGCTTCCAGTTAAGCTGCACCTGGCCCCCTCCCTCTCTACTTTCAATACGTTGCTAAAAATTGTGCATATTAAAAAAAGTTATTAATGGCATCTAACTAACTTGCCAAATTTGTCCTACCTGTCTGATCATTGCTGCCACTTGTGGTGTGTTTGTTTTATGCTGTTTTTACTGATTTGTTCTATTCTTATTCATTTGTGTTTTTATTATTATTTACCTTTATTGTTATATGATTGTATTTGCTTTATCTGTTTCTTAACTCCCTAGAGTAGTGTCTTGCACTAATTAGGTGGTATATAAAGTGGCAGGAACAAATGAATGAATGAATGAATGAATGAATGAATGAATGAATGAATTTTTTACCCCCAATCTCATTCTGATTAGAGTCTGACTCCAATCCAAGAATCATTCCATGAGAAATGAGCCAGAGCACTGGTCTTACAAAAAGAAAAATAAGATGAAACAGCCATTCACCCAAGAGAAAGGATGACAGGCCAGACCTGTTTGGAAGACATGTTTCTGACAGACTTCTACACTTCATCTTTCCAAACACCACTGCATTTGCTTTTTGCTCACTATTGAGTGGGTAATAGCCAATACTTACTTAAATTGTCATCTGATACAATTTCAAATGGTTCCTCATCATTACTCAGAATGCAAAGCAATTACAACAATTGCATAGTGAAAATCACTTTGGACTCAAAATAGACATTTTGTTACTGCCCAACTCCTACCCATACCAAGCACGTGCTATGAATTCAGGGTGGAGAGAAAATAAAATCCTGTATGGGCACCAACATTTCCTGGGAGCAAAGAATAATTAATAAGACACCATTGCAGGAAAGCAGTTTTGTTTTTCATTAGATATGAAGAAATCCATTTGACAAAGAGTAGAAAAGCAGCAAAGAGTATCCTTTCCTGTGCTAAGAAACACTGAGTAAAAAAACAACAACATTCTGTATCCAGGTATACTACACTGTTTGGGGGCTTAAAGGCTAAGGAGCAATCTTACACCCTCTAGTAGTTTTTGTAACACTGAAAAAGTGATATAGAGGATAATGTGATATAAACACAAATTTGTGCAAAATGTATTACAATTGAATACTTGATTCTGACTTAAATCTTGAAGTTGGATATCACCCTCATCAAACTATTTTTCAGAAATTGCCACCTATATTGCTAAGATGTTTCCCAGAATTCTTACATTTTGTTTTCATCACAGTTTTGTGTCATGGGTCAACACCATTCTTCATGAAAAAAGACTCAATCAAATCACACTACAGCTGACAAGCACTAAACCAAATAACACTGCTTCTGACATGTGGAAAATCAAGCATCTTACAATCAGATAGAAAAAAAGGTAACAAAATATTTAACAGTTGGGGAAGAGACAATGATGACTATGTTTACATTTTGTTTTCAGATCTTCAGCATTCAGCATGCATTATATGCATTGAAATATATCAAACAGAATTTTCAGAATTTACAGAACATCCTCTGACAACTCGCACACACAGACTGGTGCATTCAGCAGTTATGACATCCTCTGACAACCCACACAGATAGACTGGTGCATTCAGCATTTTGTAGCATTAACAATATTCCGCTAGGTGGCATCAGAGGACCCAGTTTTTCCACCCACTCTAATTTAGACAGCAAACATTGGGAGGGCCCAACCACTTGTAAAAGCAACTCAAATCAATTGCTTAGGGTGTTATCTGAGACATAGCAGTTTATATGATATAGTAAAAACAATGCAAAAGCACAGTGTAGTTGCTTCAGAAACAAAACTGTTTACTGTTGTGCCTAGATTTACCCAGCTTTTTGGAAAAAGAGGCTGTTTTAGAAGGGTTAAGCAGCAGAAAATGTTCGGTGGCACAGCTTTCACATTAAATGAAATATTTAATCTTTAGCAGACTTCTTCTACTGCCTCCTCTCTTTCAAATACATAAGAGGACCCACATTTCAGCTTCTTTACACCACAATTTAAAAATGCAAATCAGAAAGAAGTGGTATGGGAGGGAAGGGCTACCCAGCCATTTACTTTCCTCATGAGTATCTATCTGACTAAATCATTCTCTTCGCACTGTTGCAACCTCCATCTCCAGCCTCTTCCCAGAAACAGCAGCTGGTGGGTGGCTCTTCCTGAAGAAAAGTCACCAAGGTATGTTTTCTTCCCCAGCTGCTCCTCCACTCCAAATTACACTTTTCAATTTTTGTGTTTAACAGAAAATCCATGGGGGTTATTCAAATCTATAGTTTAATTAACAGAAAATGTGGGGGGGGCAACCTAGAACTTCATGTTCCTCCCAGACTGACACTTTTTTACATCACTAACACTTTATTCACACTTGTGAAAAAGTAATATTTTTATTCAGTCAGGAAGTGAATTTTCAAAATTGTGGGAAATTTTGCACTTGGGGTATGCATGAATCTCATCATGCAGGAAAAGGGCATTTTTCCACAATCTTAATCCCATGTATAAATTTGAAACACTTAAGTTGAAACAGGTTTAAAAGAGAGAGAACGAAGAGAATAAATGTACACGTTCTTGTTAATATTATTTTAATAAATATAATATCAGCCAAAAGCTTTTCAAATGGAAGTCCTGAATTTTCAAGATTCTAACACTTCATTGCTCCATACTTATAATATGAATTGTCCATTCCAAAATATAGAGCATTCACATTAGCTCACTTTAATGTATTGCCATCAGCTATACTAGATGGGCGATTTAGGGAAATTCCATTTAATGACTGAATTTGTCCTTGTGGAAATGGAGAAATCGAATCAGTTGAACATGGTATTTTTCACTGCAGAATGTATGAGGATTGTAGAAAGAAGTAAATCTCTCCACTAATAAGTGTCTCTCTGCACAGTAGCCCCACAAATTTGTTACTGTCATGCTTAGAGGGTGTGTCCACTTATATTACTGACAGTCTAATTTTTTATTGATTGCTATGAGAACTAGAGAGAAAATGAGGAAAGGTCTTTGCCTGCTTGCAAAAGGACAGCAAAGATGGGGCCATCCTGGCCTTCTGTAGGATGGGGTTTCAGAGTCTAAGAGCAGCGACAAAGAAGGCTGTCTCCATGTCCCCACCAAATGCACCTGACAGGGTGGCAGGACCAAGAGAAAGGCTTCCAGAGTCATCCATTGAGTTCTCTGGCTCAGTAAGAAGTCAGACCTAGAGCTCAGCCTAACTACTGCCCACCTTGGCATTTGTGATTATTGGTAGAAGTAGGAGATGTGACAAAGAGAGTCTTCTACGCACAGCCATTACAGGAGCACCTCCTTACCTTGAAGTACAGCTGCCAACTACCGCTATGAAGAAGCTGTATATTAAGAAAGCCAATGAAAAAACTATGTCCACTGGAGAAAATACTAGATAGATGGGTAATTAGCAGCCTAACTGTTACCTCCGGGATATTTCCAGTGTGATTCTGAAAACATGTAATATGTTTTCCAGGGAAAGCAATTAGTCAAGAACTTCTTGAAAGTTTAGTTTATTATTATTACTTAAGTTTTAATTCAAGAAAATGGACACAAGTAACAAGAGATATGATTGGACTACAATTCTAATTATCCTTAATCATGGACCATACTAACTGTGGAACAGTTAGTTTTGAAACATCTGGAGGGCATCACTTTGGGGAACCTTGTCCTAGGGATATTTTCTATCCCATTCCATCCCATAACTATGAAATTATTGTCTGACTTACAATGAAACATACTGTATTCTCAATGATGTCCTGTGACATTAAAGCAGTAAAGAGACATTCAAAGAGACTTTTTTAAAATCTGAAAACAAGTGGTATTAAAAACAGGTTCACCTACTATATTTCCAGCTGTGAGGTTGCTGCTAAAATATGCTGGAACACAGCAAGCAAAACAAGGTAGCAGGCAACCTTATCTATGTAAATGTACCTGAAGGTTCATTTGAAACCATGGAAACTCAACAGCAGCTACCAGTTTATCTTATGCATTTATATGTGCCTTCACAGAGGTAATTACACTAATCAGTTAAATACAGTTGAGTAGAAGAATTCTCATCTCTGAGTATTAGCCAACAGTCATAGCTTCAAAGCTGTACAGATCAATGCAGTAGAACTAAATTATGTTACATAGAAGATAAATTTTAGAAGTGCTACATGTCTTTTAGCAAAGCAGTATCAGCGTCAAAAAAAAGTATAGGCTTATCTATACCATTTGAAGAAAGATATAGTTTGGGATTTTTACTTGAGAGCTGCATTTGAATGTGAGTTGCTGAATACTTTGTTTACTAGCAAGAGATGAACCGTTCCAAACAAGGCTGAGTTCTCATGAAGACTCACATTCCTAAGGCTGCAAACAGGCTCAAATACATTAGGAAGTACAATGCATTTTCTGCCCCATTTTCTGCTTTCTTTGGCATCTCCCATAACCTGCCAGGAAATATCTAGTCTTCCTAAACAGAATTGGAAATGTCTACTGACCAGGCAACCCACAATCACGCATCTCTTTCATTCATAGTGTCTCCTTGTACTGCTGAAATCAAAGAATGCTTTGAGCAATGCTGGGAGTGCAGCCATCACATTTATCCATTTATGGGAAACCAGTCCCTTGATAGAAAGAGTTACTTGTGCCTTTGAACTGACAAATCCATGAATAAAGGCTTCTAGGAATAAATCAGCTAAAACACCATGATTAAAAGAATTTCAGCACAGCAGTTGCTTACTTCATAAAGCAAGGTTTAGAAATCAAGAGGCTGTGTCTGCTTTGCTCAGGAACTACATCTTCAAAGAAAACAACTAGAAGTAGGTATACAACACCTTAATATAGGATTTCAGCATCTTCTAAAAGCAACAGTATACAGTTATAAACAACAAAATGCTATCTCTCAGTTTGGACTTTACTTTGCAAGATGACTGTGTTCAACCATACTACTGCATGAAACCACAGGGAAGAGCCCTTAGACAAAGAGGATGCAAGTGGAAGTACTACTGATGAAAATCAAAGACTCACTTTGGTGAGAATCCTACCATGTTTCCCTGACAGGGTCTTTTATTAATTTTTGCTCCAAAAACATATTAGGGCTTATTTTCAGGGGATGTTTAATTTTTTTCATGTACAACAATCTACATTTGTTCAAATACAGTCATGTTATCTTCTTCTGATTGATGCACAATGGTGGAGGGTAGGATTTCACTTAACTAGGACTTATTTTTGGGGTAGGGCTAATATTACGAGCATCCTGAAAATCATACTGGGGCTTATTTTCAGGTTAGGTCTTATTTTCAGAGAAACAGGTAGTGAAACTACTTTTATAGTCCTAAAGCTTTGACTGGGACACTGTTGGAAAGCATTATTTGATGTCTCACTGTTTGTGTTTAAATTCTCTAAACAAAATCAATCCTGGGCTGAATTGAAACAAAAGGGCTCCTACATCTAGTGCTACATATACTATATGGAAGTGGTTACGAGGCATAGAGTTCCTGAGAATTTAAACTTTCAATAAGCAAAGAAAAAAGTCATTAAAAAAAATCTCTTACTGTTGTGAAGATGTTAAAGTAAGATGTTAAGGACCACCTTTTTGTGTTACCTCAGATTAGCCATGCTATGCCCAAGCCTTTTCCCCCATAGATTACTGAATCCTGGGCTAAAGTAAGTGCATACAGTATGCATATCCATCTGCTCTGTTTTCCCCTTCATTGAAAAGCAGTTTCCTTTCTTACATCACATACCTTGTTCCCTCTGTTGATCTTTTTGCTCCATAGACACAAGAGCAGAAAAATGAGCTTGATCGTAGGCAAGGACTAGGGGTGAACAATGACATCGGTTAGGCATGACTTCCAAAGGCAAGTAAATTCCACCGAATGGAATTGGTGCAAATGCTGTGAACAGAAATCAAGGTTTTGGAAATAAGGTTTAAAACTGGGGATACGCAGCCTATAAAAATGTCATGTCCTTTGATGCTGATTTTTATTTATTTATTTTACACCAGCACCTCAAGCTATTCAGTGATGACAATCCACAAAGGAACAAACTAGAACACAATCAGGAAGTCCTTAACTGAGGGCTGAGAACTTATGACCTAACAAATCAAATGTAGCCTTTTGGTTTACCAGGAATATGCAATGTGACCCATCACGCTGCTGAACAGTCATTAACATAATCTGGGAACTGATTTGGATATTTATTTTCTTTAAACCTTTCAATGCCAGCACTGAATCCACTAAATCACAACACACACAGTACAACAACAAAGCAACAGCTAAATCCCTTAATTGTTAATAAACATAGGTTGGAATATTTGAGAGAACAAAAATCTTAGCATAGGGCAAGAAGAATTGCAATGTGGATGTCAAAAAAGTCTCCAGAAGGAAAACATTCCATACTATTATTAAGAATACCTCTTTTTTTTTTTTTGCTATATTATGCACCTGAAGGGCCTCAACAGAAGATTCTAATGGACACGGGCCGTTTAGTATGAGAAGAGGCACACCTTCAGATACTTGAATTGTTTAGAGAGGGAAAAGGAAGTTCCATCACTGTGAAGTGGATCCAGAAGCAAACATTTCTTTTAAGAGTGGTGCAGTATACATAAACTTGATCATACCAGCCAAAACTGTAGCAGCTACAAAGCAAAGGTAGGAGCTGCGAGGGACCAAAACAACATGGTCAGGGAGAAACTCTCAAGACAGCACTAGGGGATATTCTACCACAGTTTTAACTATTACTCATCTACACAGTGGCTCTAAATTCTGCTTTCACCATTGTGAGCAAATATTTCATCTACACAGCATTAGATATTTTACCCTTTGAACATTGCAGTTTAACGTAGTTTTCTTGAGAATGGAATGATATGGCTCATATCCAAGAGATGTACTCACCTTCTCCGCCTGAGTCTCGTAACATTGTATCTGCAACAACAACAATTGGTCGCCTTAATATATGCGCTAGGACAAAAACATGGAATTCCTCTAGGCTCTCATACACTGGATCTTCAGAATTGTCAACTCTAGAAAACCGAACATAGAGAAATCAGAAGTGAAGATTTGTTTTTAGTCCTCTTCTTACAGTTACTTATTACACTGAACTATTTATTATCTATATTCCCCACATGCAAAAGGTACATAAAAACATGTAACATCTTTTTACAACACAACTCAAGCACAGACTGAAAATAAAACCACATTTAGCTTGAAAGGCTGTCTCAGGATGGATTTGGATTTTACTGACTACAGCATGCCTGCATTTCTGTGGGGGTGGGCTCTTCATGTCATACCCATAACATTTGCTGATCATGTGGTTCTGTTCTGCATCAATAATCCTTTCTGTAACTCTTCACGAGAAGGGGAAATATCATTTAAAAGCCAAGCTTTGATTTCAACATATACATAACTGACAACTTCCACGTTTCTCAGTACTGGCTTAATTCTTGTACTGTGTTGTTAATATATGAGCAGTGACAGCCAAGAGGAGCACTTCTTAAGCTGTAGGATAAATTCACATGTGCCTATTCATCACTGGACGATTGCATCTGACTATATGAACTGGCTCTACAATGTCTTTGAAATGATATGAGGCTACGTAAGAGTTTTCAGCTGTAGTATCTGATCTGTCATGACTTATTCATGTGTACAAGCCATCAGCAGATCCGGCATCCATCAAGTGAACTGCAGAATCTAGAACCCATCAAGTAAACCATGAATTAACCTTCAGGATCCCTGACTGCCAGGTTTGGGGGAAGAACAGAAAAGAAAAACTATCATCCAAGCTATGGCCTCCATCTCACTGTTGAAACAACTGGATCAGATATTCTTTTTTTAGATAGCCCTAAATTTGACCCAACTCCGAGAGGCAGTGGAAGACAGGAGGGCCTGGTATGCTCTGGTCCATGGGGTCACAAAGAGTCGGACATGACTAAATGACTAAGCAACAACAAATCTTCCTAGTAACTGTGTGAACATCACGCCAAGTCTACTTCTTGGTAATTCCAAACCACGGGGGGCAGGTAGCAAAATCAAAACTCAGGAATGCAATGAGGAAAGCCAATCTGAGATATAACTTGCTTATATTCATGATCATGATACAATTGCCACCAATGTTGTTTCTTTGTATGTTTATTTGTTTTCCCCTGCCTTTTTCCCTAAAAAGGACACAAGGCAGCTTACATCCTTAAAAGACAGTAATTAAAGCTCACAACAGTATACAAATACTAAAAAGGATCAAACAAATACCACACTAAAAAGCAGTAAACAAAAGCAACACCAAAACACATTCAACCCAGCTAGGTACAACAATATATTTAAAAAACCTACACAGGCAGCCAGTCACTAAGGGAAAGCTTGCCTGAACAGTGGTCTTTGAGATAGCTTGGGTCTATGCCATTTAGAGCTTTATAGGTTAGAACCAGCACTTTGATATTATGCCCGGAAACAGATCGGCAGCCAATGGAGCTGCTGTAACAGGGGTGTATGAACACTTCTATTAACAGTTCATCAGCCAGTCACTTGCAATGTCAGAACTGGGAGACTGACACACAGAAGAATTCTCTAATTCTTCAGCATTCTGAGAGCTGATAATAAATGTATCTTCCTTCCTTTCTTTCCTTCTTATTAAAAACATGTTTTCTCATAGAAACAAAGCAAAACAAGAAGCCTAACACACAATGGCAGGCTAGTTAAGTTCAAAATCCTTTATTCCCTCCTTTTATGCTGAGCTGACTTTGAAGCTAATACAACTTAGGATGCATCAAGTTTGTTCTGGCACCAAAGAAAATTGGCTCATCTATAATTCAAAGGCAGATATGCAAATTCTCCTCAGCAACACTACAGTGAAAGAACTGGGACGTTCAATGTCTAAAAGTGCTCTGGGAACAGTCTGTGTTGAGGCATTTCCATGTCTCAGATTGTTACCATGAATCCTGGCAAAGAACTGCAGTCTCTGGATCAATTTCAGATTTTCTTGTGATATCCACATATACATCCTCAAACATTCAGTTCAAGAATCAACCAATACATGATAGGCAGCAGGTAAGAGAGACAAATAAGGTAAGCAAGCCTCTTCTGGAGTGGAAGGATCAGCCAACAAGTGGTGAGTTACTCTAGGAAGGCCTTCACTTCATTCTGATCATACACTCATAAATAAATTGAGATGCATCATATTTTTTTAAAAATCTGGATTAAAAAGTCAACAATCTTCCATATTTGTTTGAGTGTTGTCAGCAACAGATTATGGCTATAAGTGATGCTGAAAGATCTGGCAAAGGGGATGAATGGAGAGAGAAGCCTGCACGATCCCTGGTGAGGGGCAGCTCTCTACCTTAAGGAGAACTACACTTTGAGAATTGTAGAGTTACATAGATGAAATACTGATATATATATATCCGTGAGTGTACCTTCACTCTGATTTCTGGAGGAGAAAAGCTGTCAGAAGGGACTTCTTTAAAGAAGAGTTCTAAGTTCTAATTGGAGTACAACTAGCTGTGCAAAAACCTAAGTTCATGAGGCGTGAACTGTCTGAGAAGGACAAAATGAGCCTGAAAGAACTGCTGATAAGGACATGAATACAGAAACAGTATGAATTAAGGTGCCCTCCTCTAAGCAAGGGAAGAAAACCCATAACCACACAGGAAAAAGAAGTAAAATCAAAACAAGGCACAAGGCATTATTTTTTTAATTGATGATATTCATACATACAGTATTCACCTTAATACACAACTCTTCATACGATATTATAAAACATGTCACTTGTTGTTATTGTTGTTTAGTCATTTAGTCATGGCCAGCTCTTTGTGACCCCATGGACCAGAGCATGTCGGGCCCTCCTGTCTTCCACTGCCTCCCGGAGTTGGGTCAAATTCATGTTGGTCACTTCGATTGACACTCTCCAACCATCTCATCCTCTGTTGTCCCCTTCTCCTCGTGCATTCACACTTTCCTAACTAGCAGACCATTAAAGCAGGAATAGGACTTGTCAACCTACTTACCCACCACCAGTGCCTCCATTTTTGCTGAAATGAGTACGTGGTTCACTTGAAGCCAACTTCAGCAGTTCATTCCATTCCCGCTCCCATTCTTCCTCTGTATAAACTAACCCTGACTAGGAAAGAGAGAAAAAAATTTGAGAAACAAGACAAACACAACACTTTCAGCATGGTCATCAGGCACTTTGATTTGTGTCTTCACTTCTTAATAGATATCTTGCTTAAATTGGTATCAATTTTTTTCCTGGAAACTGAACGCACAGCTGCTTCAGATTATTTATGATATTCCTGTTAAAATAAAAATTAATTGATCAGCTTTAATTAAATATACTATGCTGCTTTAAATTAAGTTTCCATACACAGTCCTCTTAGATGTCTCTTATGAATTTTCTTTTGGAATCAGCATACGAGAACAACAAGACATGCTAGGGTGCAATTTTCTCCCTTCTAATTCTACAAGCTTTCCAGCACCACTTTCAGCTTTTCTTTGAATGATTGTTTGACTGATACCAAACTATAACACACAAATAATCTATATTATGTCTGGTATTTTATGCAGCCTTACACAGGATTACATCAGCTGCACACAGAAGTAATTACATCCCAGAAAATTACACTATCTCACATTTTCAAATTTGTACTTTTCAAAGGAGTGGCCATATTAGTCTGCACAAAGATATTATACCCCAATCCAAATCAAAAACAAAAAAAGCAAAAGAGAAAAACATAATGGCACCTTAAAGACTAATGGCTGTATTTTAATGCAAAATTTTGTGGATCAAGTCCACTTCCATAAACAGAAGAATGACACTATTTGACTATCATATTTAGATAAGGCTCCATGACGAGGAGAGGATGTAGATAATATACAGTGGGGTCTTGACTTGAGAACTTAATCCGTATTGGAAGGCGGTTCTCAAGTCAAAAAGTTCTCAGGTCAAATCTGCATTCCCCATAGGAATGCATTGAAAACCATTTGATCGGTATCTGCTCTTTTCCGTCCATAGAAACTAATGGGAAGCTGCTGTTCCGCCTTCGACCACTAGAGGGGGATATTTTGTTTCTTTTTTCTTAGGTCAAGAAAGGTTCAGGGAAGGCAGGGAAAATACAGTCCAGGCAGGACAGTACCAGGCAGTCCGAAGACTGTCTCCCAATCCACTCTCTAAACGCTGGGAGGAGTGAGGAAGCAGACAGGCACCCTTTTTACTGGCCAACAGTTAACTGAAAGTTCACATTTTGCACTTTCCCTGCCTCCCACGTGGTTTTTTTTCAGTTCTTAACTCAAATCCAAGTACTTAAGTCAAGTCAATATTTTCCTATGAGAGTGGTTCTTAAGTCAAAATGTTCTTAACTCAAGCCGTTCTTAAGTCAAGACCCCACTGTACAAAGTGAAAATTGTTTGTTACTAAAGGCTATCAGGCTGTGAATAATGTCAGTTATCAGTCTACAAGGTAACAATAGCAAGCGCAACACAAGTGGCAAACTGTGAATTAATGTAGCATTTCACACTTCGTAATGAATTAAGAACCCTTGACTGATATTCAGTCCTTTTAAATGGGTCTCCATATATACCATATTTCAGCTGTTTCTCTCTTTCACGTCTTATTTTGTACTGGTCTTTCTCCCCTCCATTTGAGGTACATTGATGACATTTTTAGTTTCTGGGCCCACAGAAAAGAAGCTCTGGAGAAACTCCATCAGGACTTCAGCAACTTTCATCCTAAAGTCAGTCTCAGCCCAGACCAATCTACACAATACCAATATATAAATATGCCAGTCATATAGTCTCACTCTTATGTCTGAGGAAGTAGAATTGATTCATGAAACTCACGTTAAAATGCAGCAGTTAGTCTTTAAGGTGTCACGACATTTTTGTCTCCTGTTTGTTTCTGTTTTTTGTCTGATACATTTTCATATAACTTACTGTTATACATGAACTATGTAAAATGAATGTTTGTACCTAGAATGATGTTAACACTGATCTGCAGATTCTTTATGTTCTTCACAAAATGTCTGTTTTAACTTGAAAAATGTGAGACTAAACCAATAAAATGGATTTCTGATATAAAAACCACAGTAGTATAATCATAAGGGAGAGATACAGTGATCTGGCCTGGTATTTCAACCATTTTTATTTCCAGGTTATGGTGGGTTGCTTTGTGATAGCTAATGATGTACGAGAAAAGCATTCTGCACATACTCAGATATTCTTTACCCCTGTTCTCTCAAATTCATCAGTTAGCAACCCTGGCATTTATAAAGGATGCCAAAATAATGCAACTGTAAACACATTAAAAATTAGCACAGGGTTAATTCTCCTCTCTTTATTGTGCAGAACTATAAAGAACACTTACTAAATTCTTCATTCTCAACAGTTTTGGTTGCCTTAACAAGAAGTGACATTTCAATGAGGAGCTTTCAATCCATGCAAGATTTTAACATCTTAGCAAGTTAAGGGGCAATGTTTTGTTTTGTTTTATTTTGGTCTGGGTTTTCATAATTTGTGCAAACTGTCACTGCCCAAAACAGGTGTCCTTTGTCTTTGAGAATCAAAAGAAACACCCACACAGCTGGCACAGAACATTTTGATGATTGTTAAAAGAGTTGCAAACACCTCCTCTGATGTGTCTAATCCTTAAAAGCTGCAACTATCATCTTTTTGCACATTTTGCATTAAAGTGTTATTTGTACGATTTTGCTTAATTTGTGTGCAAATTAGTTCTCTCTTCTCTCATCAAGAGTACCAAACAATATCCTACCCTCGAGTGGGGTGAAAATTATTTTTTGGGTTCTCATCCTCACACATGAAGATGATATAGGAATTCACTTCCCTAGTACTGTACAAACCTCCTTATTCTGCTGCGTCTGCTGCCACCTCCACCTCCTCTTCAAGGCTTCCTTTTCAGCCCCACTTCTCATCATAGTGTACAGTGCTTTCCGTAGCACAAGGTCTCTGTCATGAAACCCCCACATTCCTAAATGAATGGAGGAAAAAAATACAGTGAAGTTACAAATTAAGTACAACCCCTTGCCCCAAACTGCAACTATTGAAAAGAAAAAAAAAGAAATGCAACAAGGAAAGTTATATCTGGCTGTGCCACAAATCATTTGCATTCTTCTCCTAATTAGCATCTAATAATTGTCACTATTTTAAAGTTTCGAAATGGATGGATAAGGGGTAACCATTTAACTCAAAGGAAACTAAAGATTCTCCTTAAGAAACTTGCTAGAGAATTGAAATGTCTGTAATGATTCAAGAACCCACAAACTTGCTGTGACCCACAAGAGAGGAAAGAATAGTCTTCAGAATCCAGCCCTTCATAAAAACAAACAAACAAAATATAGAATTCATAATATTTAAATTCTAGAAATATAAACACGGTATTTTATGTTCTAAGATAAGGAAGAGAATTATCTCAGTACAATGAAAGAAACGTTAGATTTTGAAATATGCAGTCCCCAAAACTGGAAACAGTGGGGTTTGAGGCACCACTGTATTCAGATCTCTCAGATCCTTGCTAAACATGAGGCTTACAGGCTCCTTCTGGAGTTCAGAAGTACTAAGAGGAACTCTCTTAACAATATCTTTTAACAGTGAGCTATTTCGACTTCCACGCCTTGTCCAGATGAACTTATTTTTTTCTGAAGAAAAAAAGGGTGAAAAGTAAAACATAACTTGTGCTAGTGTTTCAGAGTGGATTACTATATTAGAGGACCTACCCAGAGAAGCTGCATGTAGCAGGCAGTTTCCATCACCCGTTGTTGCCAGTGGAAGAAGCCGCTTACAACTTGTACACACTGTGGACCACCAGTTAAGACGACCTGATTTTAAAAAAAACCAAGCAGGATCAGTTTAAATTAAGGGACATACTCCATCCTCCACTAATTAGCTTGGGGTCAAGCTAATTTCAGAAAACAATTTTATGATATAGTGCGAAAAATCGTATTGTGTTTTATAATATGTTATAATAATGTTACACAACATTAGTACCATGCACAAATGGAACAGTGCATAATGATCAGAAATAAATAAATAAATAAATAAATAAACAAACAAACAAACATAATACAAAGTAAATACAAGGTTGCATTTGGTAGGCAGTGTAGTGAGACATGTTTTCCTGTTTGTCTTGTATCAGCTTACAACACCACCAGTGCCTCTCAGGTTACATTTACTTTGCATCAGTCCTTAGTTCTGAAAACACCACTTGCTGAGATAACTAATATCTCCATTTCCTACTGAGTTAATTATTTGATTTTTGATGTATCTAATGCATCCTACGAAAACATTTTAATTCAAGATTAGCTTGGCAAAAAAATAAAATAAACTGAAGAACGTATATCCATTGTAAATGTAATTATTAACAGTTTCAGTTATTAGAATCAGTCTGTAATATCCACATATATTCAAGAAGCATATTCCTTATCTAAATTAGGTGTACACTTGGGAAGCATAATTTAAAAGGTGTTGGACTGCCTTTGGAAACAAAAGATAGCAGTCTAGAATTAAACTAAAATTACAGTCATTGTTCAGTCTGGAAAGATCAGTTGTTAAGTAGAATTATAAATATCGATTATTATATTAATTATTCATCACAAGCTCTTGGCTGTCTTTTTTGCTCATTATATGTATCTGCATCCAATATTTTTATAAGCAAAAAATGAAGGACTTAACATGAATAGTTTATCTCAAAAGTCCTAAATGTTCAACATTACTGTGTTTTGATGCTGGGAAAATGTGTTATTATCCTTTTGATGCTGAAAAAAGTATTCTTTTAAAAACAGTTCTAATCAGCAGTACTGTAATCTAAAGCAATTCACCATTAACATTTTTATGTTTGAATATGATGCTCAGTTCCCTAATCACTTGTAATATGCCCAATACTTAAGACAAAAAAACACCAGTGTGGAAAAATCCTACACCAGCATCACACTATATAGTAAGGACCAGCAATAACAGAAGTGCGGCTGTACTTTACACAAAGACCAAGTAGCATTTTGATATTACAGCATAGCCACTGCAGTCTGACTATGAATGCACATAGTCAGGCTTATCCTAAGCTGCCCAGAGTAGACGTTGTCTAAATGGGCGGGGTATAAATTGAATAAATAAATAAATATAAATAAATAGTGATACATCTTCCACAAAAAGGACTAGCATAGAAAAAAGGCACATCTTTGATGTGCCTAATGAAGTGAATCTAATTCTGCAGCAAGGTTGTTAACTTGCTCCACTGCAAGTGTGTGTTCTGGTTTTTTCCAAAGCAGGTGGTGTCTCCCATATACAGCAGAGAGCAATACTTAATTTCACACTAATTTGTTGAGTCACATCAAATGTTCACTCTAGTTCCAACAGCCTCCATACCACACAAGCTCTCATCAGGTCTCTCCATGAATAAAATCAGGACTGCCATCAGCCAGGCATTAAAGGTCATGACTGGACTATAAGATATCATTGGGATCTGTGCTATCACTATCGCTCCTACACATTTCAGAGGGCTTCTTGGGTGCAGTGAGGGACTTAACAGTACAACAGGTGTCTAGAGACATGCAGTTTATAGAGAAGAGCAAAACCAATGTTATCATGCTATTCTGAACGCACATGGGTACATAGACACTAGGTTTTTTACCATACCATGTTCTGTAGGTGTACTTCAAATTATGTAAAGTAACAAAATTACAGGAAAAATAACAGAGAATCTTATGATACCTTAAAGACAAATGGGTTTTATTTTACAAAATAGGCTAGAGTCCACAAAAGGTTTTTGGTTTTTAAAGTGTCACAAGACTCTTTGTTATTCTTGTAACAATCTACTACATGCTAACAACTTTGTAATTACAGGTCACTTTCTAAGGAACGGCCAAAAATGTATAACTGATTTTGTTCAAAGGTCCCTGCAGTCTTGGCTAGACAATGAAAGGAATTCAGGAAATCATTAGCTATGCCGGAACACAAGCTGTCTCCTGTATCTTGACCTACTGGAAGCTTTTCTAAACTGACCCTTCAACAAACGTTCCTTCTCCATTCCTGGCAGAACTGTTGCCAATAATATCTGTGGCGGCAGCATACTAAGATTTTGCCAAGACAGAAGAACAACATGACACTGTACAAAGGTATTTTAATCTCTTACTTTGACCAATTAAATTATTTAGATATTCTCCCACAATATGATTTTACCAAAACTGCAAGAACATGATTAATTTTTTTTCCAGGGTCCTTCTAGCTTAGAATTTATTTTCAGTCAGGGCCAGACAGATACTTCTGAGATTGTTAAACAGGTAATTAGGACAATGCACACCTACTACTAACTTCCAACATCCAATCCTCTTTAGTATGCTGTTCAATGCATAAGAACTGCTTTGGTTCTATTCAACCATCATGTTAACCCATCACTGTACCACACATCTATCACTAGTTTATTTGGATTCTGGTGAGAGAGGATGCAGCCTTTCCAGCCCCCCATTATTTGACACTAAGGAAGTCTGCAGGAAGTTCTTGTGATGCCATGCAATCTTGAAAACAACATATCTGGGAGGCTACATAAAAATCATTTGTATAGGTTATGCTTTGCATGGCACATTTGTGCATGTGTATAATGACATTTCAATAATCTGATGAAGGAGAAGGAACAAAATGCAAACCACATCGTGATATATTTCCTTAGCCAAAGGAGAGTTAACACTGTGCTTACTACTGCATGGTGAAGAAATTCTTACTCTTGTGAAGAACAGTCTACTTTTAAATCAGATTCATTGTTCATTTTAAGTTCTGAGAAAGAGAGTAAATGAAAGAGGGAATGTGGAAGAAAATGTGTCATCTTCACATTTTTATAATTTTATGAGCTTATATCATAACTTTCTCATGCATTGGTTTCTTTTTAGCATAGTGAAGGTGCATTTTAGCTGTTCTTTTTTGTATTATATTATTTCAGAAGTGAAATGATACAATCGGTACACAGTATTTAAAACTTCAGATTTGTTTCTACTAGAAGCATCTGGTCCCCAACAATAATCTTACTTTAAAACAGAGTGCACCATAAGTGGTCAAGACATCTAGAAACTCACATCTTCACTATTTACCCACCAGCTTGTTCTAAAGCAATCATGGTTGCCTGCTCAATTAAGTCTCGCTCAATGAAGCTCCTAAAGTCTTCACTGTAAACACTAAGATCAGGGAGCTGGAATGTGTAGATGGGCATCTCCAGTGGAAAATGTTCATTGTTGCATTCACTGGCCACATGGGATCGAGCAAGAGAGACTATTGCTGAGCTGGCATGAGAAATTCCTCTAGAGAGCCTCTTTTCTGTTAAAAAGAAAGAAAGAAAAGATGGACAAAATAAGACTTACAATGCAAAATTAAACAAGTTTACTCAGAAGCAAATTGAATGTAATGTGGGCTTTTTTCAACTAAGCATTCTGTAGCCTCAGGGTATTCAAGCAACCTTTTATTGGTGAAGAAAACTATCTCCTCTTCTTTCAGTTCTATATTTTTAAGTTAGTGAAAAAAGAAGTGGAATTTGCAGCCCTTCAATTTCAGAATTATGATGGGAATTGTAGTCGAAGCACACCTGGATTACCCAAAGTTTGGAATCACTGATTTAGATTGATGCTCAATTACTTTGGGGTAGGACAATGTTAAATCTTGCCTTCCCAGCTAACCTGGAGCCTCCTGCTTCTCTGTTCTTTAAGTGGAAGGCACAGACCTGTATTTTTAAAGGGTTTGGTTTTGACTGGCTGTTTTTATAATATAAGATCATCTAATGCAGAGATTAGCTGGTGTTCAATGACCTCAAAGAGCTGTACATATTGAACTCTGTGATGTATGGTTGTTGTGAGTTTTTTGGGCTGCTTGGCCATGTTCTGGAGGTTCTTCCTAATGTTTTGCCAGTCTCTGTGGCCGGCATCTTTAGAGGACAGGAGCGAGAATTCTGTTTGTGTTCAAGTGAAATATATATATATATATATATTTCCTAGTTTTACTAAGAAAGAAAACCCTCCACAAACACTTAAGCACTCTCTCAAATCTAGCACTGGTGGTTCTGGGAAGCTGTTCAACACACACCATCAAAAATGCTGCTAGAGTTTTTTTATTTTTATGTAAGATGGTGAAGAAAGGTACTTACTTCTGTAAAAAATTGTTTCAAAGAGTAACCATAATTTTCTAAAGCACCAGATACCTAAATCCCAGTATATCTTTAATAATTATACAGTGTTTTCCCTTTCCAACTTCCCTAACAGATAAAATAGAATTCATCACAGAGTACCCCCTGGCAGCACAGCAAAACATCAGACATCAAACAAGCCAAGTTTCACTTTGATGTCTGAATAGTTGAGACAGAAGTAACCATCATACTCAAATCTAGAGACAGGTGCTGAGCTTCTTTCCTTGTTTTGTCACCTTGGATGGCATGTACAAAAACACAGCTTCAGAAAATATAAGCAAAATTATTTGCAGTAAGAGCATACCTGTCGTTTTCTAGCAAAAGCAATAAACCTGATCAACTGATCTTGATTCGTGAAGGCCCAAGTGAAATACTATGATGTAAACAGAGTCTAGCACCACTGGACTTAGCAGCAAGTTGTCTGTGAACCCCTGAATGACTCATTAACTTTAAACACTCCACAGCATGGCCTAAGGCTTTCAGATAGCTCATAACATCAGATCACCTGAACCAATATAACTGAGAGCATGCCTGTCTCTTGGGACCTTACTATTGTACTTTGAGCCAGCAAATGACTAGCTATTAGCTTTCATGGATTTCTATTTATTTCTGCTTTTCTCTTTCTTATCTTTGCAAGGCTGTCTGAATTCTCCTCTCCAGGAAATAAAAAATTTGCTGGAGAAGAGTGACAGCTCAACATAAAAAAATAAACTAAGATCATGGGCACTGGTCCCATCACCGCCTGGCAAATAGAAGGGGCAGATATGGAGGTAGTGACCGATTTTACTTTCCTTGGCTCCATGATCACTGCAGATGGGGACAGCAGTCACAAAATTAAAAGATGCCTGCTTCTTGGGAGGAAAGCAGTGACAAACCTAGACAACATCTGGTCCGCATAATCAAAGCTATGGTTTTTCCAGTAGCGATGCATGGAAGTGAGAGCTGGACTATAAAGAAAGCTGACCGCCAAAGAATTGATGCTTTTGAATTGTGTTGCTGGAGGAGACTCTTGAGAGTCCCCTGGACTGCAAGGAGAACAAACCTATCCATTTTGAAGGAAATCAACCCTGAATGCTCACTGGAAGGACAGAGCCTGAAGCTGAGGCTCCAGTACTTTGGCCATCTCATGAGACGAGGTGATTCCCTGGAAAAGACTCTGATGTCGGGAAAGGGTGAGGGCAAGAGGAGAAGGGGAGAGACAGAGGATGAGATGGCTGGACAGGGTCACCGAAGCTACCAACATGAATTTGACTCAACTCCGGGAGGCAGTGGAAGACAGGAGGGCCTGGCATGCTCTGGTCCATGGGGTCACGAAGAGTCGAAAACACCGAATGCTATGTGATAGCAGTTACACAGAAATAAGATTGTTGTTGTTCTTGTTTAGTCATTGGTTTTTTGATGTTGAGCTTCAGACCATTTTTTGCACTCTCCTCTTTCACCCTCATTAACAGGTTCTTTAATTCCTCCTCACTTTCTGCCATCAGAGTGGTATCATCTGCATATCGGAGGGTGTTGACATTTCTTCCGGCAATCTTAGTTCGGGTTTGGGATTCGTCCAGTCCGGCCTTTCACATGATGCATTCTGCATATAAGTTAAATAAGCCGGGGGACAATATACAGCCTTGTCGCACTCCTTTCCCAATTTTGAACCAATTAGTTGTTCCATATCCAGTTCTAACTGTTGCTTCCTGTCCCACGTATAAATAAGAAATAAGATTGGCACTGATTAATAATAATTATGTGAAATCAAGTAAATTTGAACTTACAGCGACCCTCACATGGTTTACTAGATAGAAAGCGGTTTATCAATCCCTCTTTCTGGCAGTACTCCAACACACTGCAGCTTGTCCAAGGACTCACAGGTGGCAGGACATTTAATCACATCAGCCACATGCATGTTGGGTGATTTTGTTTGGCTCCCCTCCCGGGAGTTACGGTGGGCGATCTCTCCTGATCACTGGCTCCACAGCAGCCCCTCCAACCCACTGAGCCACACCAACATTCTCAATGGGTTTGCACAAGCAGAATTCTAACTTTGTTAACATTAGTAGCAACTAATATTATGACTTTTTAAAAATGTCAGAATTCTGTTTATGGAAATCCACTAATCAGTCACACAGACATAGGCATACTCACAGAGCATGGGGACCTACCCTGTCACACGGATGAATTTGAGGCTTTTGTTAGTTTGTTTGTAAATGTCAATAGTCTATGTATACCACAAACATCTAAGTAAACTGCATAAAACGAAAAGCTCTAATCTTCTAAATAATCTTTAACTGTCTGTCGATTTGTATTTTTATGGCCATGCATTCTTTGCTGAAAAATCTTTGAAAATTAGGGGCAAACAAGGTCTTATATCACAAAATGTAGCTACTCGCTAGCCATATACAAATGTTGGTATCCACACAGACGCACTGTGAAACTTATCAGTTTCCAGTACAGAATGTCCAGATATTTCCCTGGGTCTGAGGGACTACCAGATAGTCATTCATCCCAGCCACTATCTTCAAAGGTTGGACAAAAAAAAAAATCCTGCCAAACCACAAACTATAGTAGCTGCATAATTTATATTACAAAATGGTGTATAGCAGCTCTTTGCCTATCAGAAACCCAAAGTAGAAGTGCCTTACCTTGAGCAATATCATCCTGTCTTTGAAGAGATGGCCGTTCATTCTTGTTCACCTGTTGGGAAGGCTCTCTTTCCTGATGCTGCTGCTTGGGATATTTCCCTTCATTGAACACTTGGGGTAGGTTGGCTGTATGAACCTGCCTAAGTTGCTCATAATCACTGAGAGCTGCAGTCAAATCCCAGTTTTTGCCTAAAAACAAAGCCAGAAAGAGTAGCATAAAAAACTGCTAGATGCATACGTGTCCAGGTTTTGAGTATGAATCAATGGGCAATTACAGTGCTCACTATGTAATCTAAAATTAAAGTTCTCATACCAAGACACCAAGTTCCAAACAGACCATTTTAGATTATCATCCAAGTTGTAAATTAATAAACTCATACAACTATTATAAATAGATAGCAAAGCTGAGCACTTTAAGCAGTGCTTGGCTGACAGAGAAGAAGACATACTGGCCACTTTCTGTAAAGCAGTCAGTTCTTCCATAACTGTCAACTAATTTTTGGATGGTATTATTATGGATGGTAAATGGCAGTTCATGGCTTCATAAAGAAATTGTGCATAGTCCATTCACAATATTTAACAAGCCAATTCAGCAAGATCCCAAATGAACAATTTAATTTTTTTAAAAGTATCTATATTATATACACTTACACAAGTAAAAATCCTTATAAAATATGTGAAAAGGGCAAAAAGGTCATGACATAATTTAAAGCACAGTATATTTAGCTTTCATTTCATTCTCTAGTTCATTTTTCTATTTACCTGGTTCACTGTCTTCATACAATTTTATTCAAATATCAAAATAGATTAATTCATATGCTGAAGTTGAACTTTTAAAATGCAGTCAGTTCAACCCTTCTATTGCAATTCAGTGTACTAAAGTACTAATAAAAAAGCAATAGTGAAGTGCTGATTATACCACCATCTTCTTAATTCTTCACAGTGAAATCAGATTTTGATCCTATAAAATGTTTGACCAAATGTATTCTGAACACACAGAAATCATACTGACACGAGGGCAGACTACAATGGCTAAAGTTTCTCTGCACTTTAATTAGAAAATGCACAACTAGAGGTTGGTGGGGAGGAGGAAGAAAGGTGGTGGAGGCTGCTACCTTCATTCCAAGCTGGTCTTCTTAAGTATAAATTTTAGGATGTCTAGTATTTTCTTCAAAAAATTTCTCTGATTCATTGATCAAGAAGAATAAAAAAAGCGGCAACATCTAAAATTCCCAGAGTTAATCCCGTACGTATCCCTAAGAGACTGCAGTGTTCAATTATGTTCATGCAGCCAGCATTCAGCTATGAATATGTTTGTATACTTGGAAATTATCTTTCAGTTAATACAGCCTCAAAGAGCAAAATATTACTGTTTGTTTATATAAGCGTTCTACCTGCAAGGAACTTTTTCTTCACTGACTGGTCTGCCAAGGAACCCCAGTCTTGTAAATGATTCTGGGGCATCATCTAGGCATACACTCCTTGCATAAGAACTCAACCAGTCATGTTGAATTTCCTCACTGCCCTGCTGGAACTGACAGTATGATGCAGAACACAAGCAACACTTTCCTGCTGCTGTATATTGGATAATATTAGTAAGTTGTATATGCTATTGAACTTAATGTCAATCTTTGGATCATAGAACTGTTGTTATTATTCAATCTGTTTTAAATAACAATGATTAGAAAAAATTCAGACATAATTCAAATTGTGGGGTTTTTTGGGTATCTATTAATATGAAAATAAATGGATCTTTTAGAAGCATGTCTATGCTATAACAGTCATACTACTACTTTCATACGACGACAACTACTACTACTGATAACAACAACAACACCATCACTATCTAAAGCTGTTTTTCAACACACTTAATGAAGGACACTCTATACAGCCCTCCAGCATGTTTTTATTAAGACCAAGTTTGTCCTTTAGTTGATTTAGGCAGGACGCAGGTCTCAGTCATTCATATTAGGGAACTCTTGTTCACTTCAGTGGGCTATGCACCAGAGTGAGTCCTATGATTTATATTTTATATTTGCAAAGGCTTTTATGATTAAACAACCCCACAGGTGCTGATAATTATGGCCATTTGAACCATGATCATTAATGCTTGGTACTCTCTCATCCTCTGAACTGCAAAATAATCTTATTTTGGACTTTGTGAAGGAGTGAAGAAAAGCACAGCAGCCTGAAGTGAAATTTCTCTGAAGCAAACTTTTTTCTCCATCAACGAGTGGATAAAATCCTCTCCATTTATATGACAGGTTTTTGGAAGGAAAAAACACACACATTGAAATACTGTATTAAAACTATCATCCTTTAATGTTCTCTTCCAGAAAGATCAGATAAGTCAGCAGGGAAGGGGAGATTCTTCTTTCAAAGCCATTGTACCAGAAGTGGCTCTCTTTATTGAGCATAGGGAGAAAACTTGAAGTGTAGGATTGTTTCCTCATAAAACAGTCTAGTGGAGCAGTGCTAGGAGATATATGGGATAAAATAACCTCTGCCAGAAAAGCAAATGACATATGAATAATTCTGGGCTTTGAAATGACAGGATATTAGCTTTCATGAACGCAGAATGACTCTGATTCTCATCTTCTGAACCAGGGCATTATTTACACCAGAAGGATGAAAGAAGTTAACAATCTTTGAAAGGACTGTCAAAAATCACCAAATTTTCTCAGCACATGCTCTTGAGAATGGCATCTTCACAAGCAGGCTGGCAGTGAGGTAATCCACAAGGCCTGTTTAGATTCTGACATTTCTTTCAAATGGCACTTTCTGAAATGGCAGCTGACGTCAAGCAATTAAGTTGCTTTTTCAAGCCATCATTATCCAAAATGTTACTTTCATTTGGATATGGAACTGTCACTTAACCCTAGCTATCACCGCCCACACCAGTTGCTGCTCCTGTTCTTCCTGTTGTTGTAATTGTCATCATCATCATCTTTCTCATTTCTCAGCATTGCTGTTTTGGGGATGGACCAAAGGATCAAGCCTAAAAATTATGAATCAAATCCTAAAAATCTGTGGAGAGATATGTTTGCAAAAATCACTGATTTTTGGATTTCAGGAAGCAGCTATTTGCAATTGTTTTAAATTGGTAACTAAGGGGAGGAGGACAGCCTAATTTTCCCTCCATATTGTTTTAATTCCTTGTCTTTATGTGTGATCGTTTGGCAATTTCTGAACTTTTTGTACTTTAGGGGTAGCTTGTTGATGGAATTGTAACTTCTATAAGATATGTTTTTTCTTTGTTTATCAAAAAGTATAATACTTAGCTTTCTAAAAGCAATGTTTTATCCATGGTAAGTTGCTTTTTCCAGGACAGTACTGTGTTTTCATTTTGTAAAACTGGAGGTGGTTGGAATTTGAAATATGGAGGAAAAGATGTGAGTAATGAAGTAGATTTAGCAAACTGCTGAAAAATGATATTTGCAACTGTATTATGCCTGCACATAGAACCCACTGATGCTTGCTTAGGACATCTAGTTGTGAAATGATGAATTGTTTCTTTGGATTCATGACATGACAGGTCCTACATAAATCACTTATACCTTGTTTTATAATTATTTTTAGATAATATTTACTGCAAAGAGATTGCAAATTGGAATCCCTCAGTTTCAGCCTGAAGATGACCTTAGCCACAAATTTGATTGTTACTTATCAACATCATAATCCAGAAGGTAACTGACATGCTTTCAGTTACAGTTTTGTCATCATCATAATTAACATGTGGTTCTACCACCCTGGACAATGTTACCATATAGTTGTACTGTATATCATCCTATTGGGTACAGACAACATTCAGTGGAAATGTGCACTGCACGAACCTGGTAAATTCAGTAAGACTTTTGGTTGTATAATGCACAGATTTAATGCACTACCTTTCTATTCATGCTTTCACATTATTATCTTTAGATAGAATTTAAATGTAACACTATTCAGGTAAGTGTTCAGATATGGGAGATGTGTGCTATTTCTTCCTTTGGTCATGGAGTTCATCTGGGTCTCTAAATGCAAAAACATTTATAGCTTCAAAAATCAGCACCCTTGACTAAGATGTAATGTCTGCTTCTCAAGGGGGAAAACCAATTTATTCTACTTAAGTAGCAAATGATCTCCAGTGTTTGCTATTAATTCCACACAGAGTCATGGGTATATTAGAAAGGTTGTACCTATTAAATATGTATTCATTCAAGAGTATGCAAAGATGGAATATCCAGGTTTAACTATTGTTGAGTCAGTTCACCTGGCTGTGTTCATTTTAGCTCCCTTGTGATTTATGAGCAGCAAACCGGACCTACCTTGATTACACAATATATCAAGCTGGAGGTGGATAGTAATTATTCTGATTAGCAGTAGTGATAGAGATGGTTTAGCACAACAAGAACAAGAACATTAATTTATTTAGAAAAATGTTTTCATATAAAAAATTTAAGAAAGCTTCTATAAGAATTGGGCATTCAATAAGTTTGTCAAGATGTAATATCCATCACAGAACACAACAGGTATGAGAGGAACAGATTACTGACTATAGGCTATTTGGTCATGTGTATACTCACCAATTATGTTGTTATTTATCAATGTATATTCATCAACTGGGGAAAAATTAACTGAATTATTCTGAACTGTATTTTAGCTAGGTAAATTATCACAGTGCCATGAGTGAAATGTAGGGCCAGAGTGCAGGAAACTGTACTGCATTACCTCTGTTCCACTGGAACATACCACAATCCTCTGCACATGGATGAGATATGGAAGGAATCTATTATGGGGCTGGGGAGGGAGACCTTTAAGGAGAAAGGTGGGATAAAAGTATTTTAAATAAATAAATAAACCACGCCTGTTCCACAGAATTGTATTGGGCTATTTAACAACTAAGAAATCAATACAAAATACCTGAACTTAAGCACTGAGAACACGGTTCCCTGTTTAATTGATTGTGTCTTACTTCTGAGCTTGTAGTAGTTCACAAGCTCATAAAACTATAAAAAATTACACTAAAACATGCTAAAATTTAAAAATAAATAGTAGAAAAGTCAACACAAGATCAAAACATCAGCCTAAGGACTCAATTTATTAAAAAGCCTCATCAAGCTGGGCAAGCGTCCATAGGTGCAACTCTACAGAAAGCACAATTAAAAATGTAAATGATAGTTTCACAAAGAATGGATGATGAGGATATATTGAGAACACTGTGAATCTTGAGCTTACCTTCCAGCAAGTCTCTTGCCAGACCTGGTTCTGCACCTGTGGACTGAACAAAGTCTGACAGGACAGCGTCCATATCAAGAGTCATGGGATCATGTAGAGCTGCTGCCACATGTGCAGCAGTGGCTGGATTGAGCACCAGGCTACAATACATCCATCTGTGAAGAGATAGCAATAAAGCAACCATTTAGATAAAGTTGCTGAGAGATGTCAAAAAGAGCTTCTTAAGTTTCATACAGTGGAAAACCATATGGCACAAACAGTACTACATAACTGCTACTATTAGTGGTAGTAGTCAGAGGCTGTAGTTGATGGTACGTAAGAACAACTACTTGTAGTAATGCTACCACTTCTACTTAGCAGTCATTAACAAACACCCCACATTGGTGGGCACTGTATGTAAAAATCAGAAGAAGCTTTGCCCATAGGATCACGATTTCATTATTATTATTCTATTTGGCGCATCCCTGCCTGGAAGTTCTGTTTTCACTGGATTCCAGGTTTTCTTCCATCTCCTCTGAAGTGTGATGATTGCAACCATTTTCCTCTTTCAAAGTAGAATTGCTGCTATAAAATTTCTCACAGGTTTGCTGTGGATCTCCATGGCCTTCCTCAGAAGCAACTGGTGATGATATCTTTTGTGTCAGAGAGCATAACTTCACCACACTACTACAGAGCTCTGTCAGGGAATGTTGTTTGAGTATGACAATTACAGCAATCATAAGAAGGAAAACAAACACTGCTCCCAATGCAATTCCCAGATAGCTGCTTCTCATATCTAGCTTTATATGCTGACCTGCTTCATTAGTTTGGATGACAGCCTTCAGGGGCAAACACTACAGAATCATATTATCTCATTGTAGCATTTATTAGCTCATTTTTTACATCACAATAAAGATCAGGAGTAACCTGACAGCATACCAGGTCAGTAACAGTAATGATAGATACATCCTCTCGCTTCTCTGTCAAAGTGTTCCTACTACCTGGTGATGAAACATAGAAATAGAACTATATACTTTTAAGGCAAAAGTAGCCATTTGTTTGAAAGTCACATTCCGGTGCACTTGGCATGACAGCTCTGCTATGACTCAAGGTCTAACTACTGCCACCACACTGCGTTAACAAATATTTATTAACAAATTCAATACCCATATTGTGTAAAAAGGCAGGACCTTCTTCTTTTACACAGGATTGCTTTCCCATGTTAGAGCAGGGACGCAGTTTAGAGATAATCCTTTAGCCAGCTCTCATGCCTGAAGTCTTGGTGGCTCAGATGGCTTTTCAGCAAGCTTGGCTGCTAATCTGTCTACAACCACCAGTTACATTTAAAGACAGGAAGAATCCAGCTATGGTGATTTATATTTTACAAACCTCCAAACTGGAATACTGCAAGACCAGAACATGAAACTGCGCTTGAAAATGATCTGACAGCTTCAATAAATGCAGGATGTACTTATAAGATTGTTAGTGGATGAGTCCAGATGAGATTGTATCACACCAATTCTGAGGCAACTGATTTGTTTGCATATTTGCTTCTAAAGTAAATCTAACAAACTTGCTTTGACCTCTGAATGGCTAAAAGTTTTGGGGTGATAGTTTGTGTGTACACTTTCTACATATGAGGTGGTCCATAATTTATCTCCTTTGGTTTTACTCATAAGAAAGGGAAATCAATACTATTTATAAACGTTTGTGAAAAATGCAACAGAAAACACGGATAAAAAACAAATGGTATTTCCAGCAATTCATACTTTTAGTTCACTTTAATTATTTCTTTTAATCATATTCACTTGAGACAAATACATTGCATATTGTCTTGATTTGCACAATTTACAGGCAAATCAAACAGATCTGAAAAAATACAATTTTTGATATTTTCATTCGTGCAAAAATTAATGTAATATCACTCTTCCCATACAGAAAGCTGAGAAGAATGCAACAGCCTTGCTGTAGGACTCCAATAGACAATCTAGTGCAGCATCCTCCTTACTGCAGTTGAAAATCAGATGTCCACAGAAAATAAACATATATAGCTGTCCTTCTCAGTGAATAAATATTATAGAAAAGCATAAGTAAGCATAAAACGTCTGCATTTACCAAAAAATGCATAGGACATATTATATGAGATGCAGGCTTGCTAGACTGTTGCATATATATCCAATTAGCTGTATAATGAATTTTGTGCAGATATCGGTCTGAAGAAGTAGGGGATTCTGCTTCTCATCTGTAATGATCTGGTTGTTCACAGCTCAAGCTATGCAATGTGTGCTCAGCAGTTTAGTCAGTTGTCTCTACAATGTAACTGCTGCTGAGAAAGCCAAATATCAGACAAGTATTTGAGAGAGACACACTGGATGTCTTCAGGTATTAAATGTTGTCACAGCCTTATGAAGTGTCAAATGACAAATAGAATTTCTGGTCTTCCTCAGCTAGAATTCTTCTTTTTATACATTCTACTTTATTCTGCCTTTTTCTGAACCTGCTAGACATACCTAACAGGTTACCTAAACATGAAATTAATTGAAGTCAGCATTTTAGTACATTCAGGTTACTAAGGGCTTTGCTGGCAAGAATCCAATTGGTGATTTATCCTTGCTTAAATGAAATGGCCTACTATTGCACTCACAAATCACCACTAATTAATAAGGTGTTGATACATTCCTGGGCAAGCATATTATCATGCAATTAGATATGCATGCCTAGAAGCAAAACCAACACTTCATTAATTAGTGGCAATCTGCCACACTTTCTTACACCATTTCATTCAGGTAAGCAGAAATCACCAATTGAATTCTGTTTCTCACCTCCAGTTCATATTGTTTTCATGACTATTAGTCTAAGCCCCTTAATAAGAAAGAATGGGATATCATATCTTAAACATTTTTAAAACATTTTTTTAAATCTCTATGCCTTAGGAAGGATGTACAAGACCATAATGAACTAAACAAAGTATTCTCATTGATCAATAAATACCCTACAGCAGACTGATATTCTTCCAAAACACTCTGAACTTCGTCATCTCTACAGTTCATTTATCTACCTGAAGTAGATAAATAACAAACCCAGGCACCTAATATCATACTTTAAATCAATGGTGTAACAAATCACTGTTTTATTGTACCTTCCGAACCTAAAACAGTACTAAGCTTCTACACAGAAATATGCATGGAGCCCAGTGCTATATGGATAAAATATAGTTTAAGACAGAAAATTAGTATGCATATATGATGTAAGAAAGGGTACAGGCAAAAGTGCTGGTTCATGAAGAACCTATGTCTGACAAGGTGGACTTGTCCCCAAAAGCTCACATTAAAATATAATAGTCTTGCAGGTGCCACATATTTTTGTCTTGCTTTGTTTCTTTGGTTTTTACTTGATAAGCTTGCACAAACTATCATGGCTACCTCTCCTAAAACTAACACAGGTAAGGCTCAAGACATTTTATCACAGTTTGTGACCACATATGCATCAAATATCATGTCTTTATCTTCTTATCCATAATTTATGCACTGATATTTTAACTTAAAAACAAACAGAAGCTGTCTGAACCTACTAAAATCAGTGCACTTGTTCAAAGTTGAGCAAAGAACATCTGGAAAAATGATTGAAGCTATATTTAAGTGGTTCGTTTTACTTACTTTAAGTGGATTGTAAGTAACAGTTCTGTTTAGAAAGCATCAGAAAGGCTTCATATCACTGCTTTTCAGTGAGGAAAACAATTCATTCTCATCCCAGCAGAGTAGCTGACTAAGTTGTGTCCCCTGAGAAATCTGTAAAGAAATGGAAGGTTTGTGAGAATGAAATTCTACATGTGTCTGAATTACAGTGGTCCTTTCCAGCCAATCTAATGCTTAGTGTATGTAATGTATTTACAGTAACAAATATGTAGGCTACAGGGCCCAGGAACTGACCATGAGAAGTATCTGGAATAGTGTCACCTAAGATAATTTTGAAAATCACCAACACTTTCCTATGCACCTACTTCTTTGCTTAATGAAAGCAACAATTAACTGACGTGCCTTTTGCACAATGAGATAGTACTTGAACAACTTAGACAGATGAGATAGTGTAAAGCAGCAAAAAGATACAAAAAAGACAACAAGAGAAAACCACATCCCAGCCTTTTTTTGGGTAGCTTAGCTTACATTTATTATAACTGTGGTTCATCAAACTGAAGAGCAAAGAAAATGGGTTATGATGTCAACGGCAGCTCTCTCTCAGTTCCACTGCTTGTGGCTGAAGATATATTGTGGCTGGCTAGCTCTTAAGATGTATAAAGACAAAAATTCATTGGTGTACATTTTTCCTTGCTTAGTTCAGGCTCAGGGTGACTCCATCACTCTGAATGAGCTGGCATGATGTCACAATGAACTTGTTGTGTTCATTTCTGCTCCAGAATGCTCTAGAGATATTTTGATATGTTTGTGTTTTTTATCCTGTCTTTATCCTATATTTGTTTTCTTTACTGGCCCTATTTGCCTGCATTTTTAACGGAACTGCAAGATAAGAATATTTTAATGAATAGATAAATAGAATTATGAAGAAACTTCCCCCCTTCACAGATTAGGGCTGTGTATAATGCCCCTTCACGGATTGCTGCCTTGTCGTGGCAAAGGGGCTTGAGTCATTCAGAAAAGCTATGGGCTATGCCATGCAGGGACACCCAAGATGACAGGTCATAGTGGAGAGTTCTGACTAAATGTGATCCCCCTGGAGCAGGAACTGGCAAGCCACTCCAGTATCTTTGCCAAGAAAACTCCATGAACAGAAACAAAAGGCTAAAAGATATGACGCTGGAAGATGAGCCCCTCAGGTTGGAAGGTGTCCAACATGCTACTGAGGGAGAGCGGAGGACAAGTACAAGTAGCTCCAGAGCTAATGAAGTGGTTGGGCCAAAGCCGAAAAGATACTCAGCTGTGGAAGCATGTGGAAGTGAAAGGAAACTCCAATGCTGCGAAGAAAAATACTGCATAGGAACCTGGAATGTAAGAGCTATGAACCTTGGTAAGCTGGATGTGGTCAAACAGGAGATGGCAAGAATAAACATTGACATCCTGGGCATCAGTGAACTAAAATGGAAAGGAATGGGCAAATTCAATTCAGACGATTATCATATCTACAGTGGACCCTCGACCTGCGAAGGTCCCTACTTACGAAAATTTTGAGGTACGAAAAGCTCTGGTCGCAAAATTTTGGTTTGACTTGCAGCTGGAGCTTCGACCTATGAAAGGCAGGGGGAAAGGGTGGGAAATTCAAAGCTGCCCCCACTGTCCTCTGCCTCCCATTCCTGCTACCCTCTGTCTCCCATCCCTATTGCCCTCTGCCTCCTGTCTCCACAGGGACAGGAGGCAGAGGGCAGTGGGGATGGGAGGCAGAGGGCAGCAGAGGGAGTTTGGAAGCCCAGGAAGCTGAAAGCCAGCAGCGGGCACAAAGCAGCTTTTGGCTTCCCGGGCTTAAGTAAACCTACTTACATTTAAAGCTGCTAGGAAATTAGTATCTCCTTGTATCATTGCTGTATCCTTAAATCAAACGAACTACTGTAACAGCAAACACTGATAGTAAGAGTAAGACAGGAATTAAAACAAATAATAAAGTACAAGAAGAAATTTGTCCACTTAGCCTTACCAATCCATAACAAAAAGCCTGTGCATAACTAAAAGCTTCCATTCTTTATGAAAGGCTACTGCAGAAAAGTAATATGCCAATCTTCGAAATAAAGGCTGCAAATCCTTTCATTCCATTGCTCTCACGTGCAAGCTTTCGCTGGTATCTAATTTGAATACTGTCTCCACCCAAGGTCGACAACCACTGATCTAGCTATGTTCTCTCCTCTCTTTCTTTCTAGCATGTGTGATCACCGGTATCAAACCAAAGCAGCAATTGTTGGTGTTCCATGTCACTTGGGTGACAATCCATTTCAGTGCTATGAAATTAAACTGTCCTGGGGAGTATTCCCCATCTCCCCAGGAGAGGAGGAGACAGGAAAGGACTCTCCCCCCCCCTGAAAATCCAGTGCTATGCCACTGCCCAAGAAATTTTTAAAAAACTGATGGAGAAAAACAATTTTGGTTTCCGTTTGTTTTTCAAAGCTAGGCAGTGTTTCTCAAACAGAACCATATGAGGAAAACCTTAAATGGTAGGTCAACTTTCATTACTGACAGCTCTAGTCAGTGACAAGAATTTCACCAACACTCTTCAAACACATCAACTGTGGTGGGAAAGGAAGGAAGATGTGAGATCTTTGAACAATGTATATATTCAACTCATCCATACAGGGTCTTATTCTATGCTAGATTTAGTTGTTAATAGCTGATTTCTTTTGACCAAACTCCGGGAGGCAGTGGAAGACTGGAGGGCCTGGCGTACTCTGGTCCATAGGGTCACAAAGAGTCGGAGACGACTAAATGACTAAACAACAACAAATTTCTGCCTCCTTGCCCACTCAAGGGCCCAGCTCTGCCAACTGCTGCTCCCACCTATCCAGTACCTAACACAATAAACATATTTTTATATACATATAAATATACATATTTTAACATTTCAGTTCAGAAGTCGGATTTAAATACTGTACTGTATACCTTATAGATTATTTTGCATTCTGCCATGAAGCTTGCAGAATGAGCTTTAGATGCTATCTAAAATAAAATGAAGGCTCACAAGGTACTCAACACAATACAAGATGCTACAGAAATTTTAAAAGTAATGACAAATGCCATAGATTCTGCCAGACTTCAGAACAGCACAGTTGCTTTAATCAACAGGAACTAATAAAAGCAAAAGAAAAATGCATAAAATCATGTTAATTACCATTTAATAAATATCATTTCTTCAAAGACTCCTACGAAATCAACAATTCTCCAAATAAAGGATTACAATGAGCTAAAAGAAGAGGCACAAGAGGATTGCCATTTACCATTTTATTATCAGATGAAAACTGCTATGAGAATATTTGTTTCTTCATTGTGCCTGTTATAATGTGCAATACAACCACCAACAAGAGACTTGGACGCACAAGGATATCTCAACAGTCTTGTTTAGGAACAAAACTTGAAATACTTTGTAACACTAACACATGAACACAGCAGTTACTATTATCTGGAGAGGTCCTGTGTAAATTCCTGTGCTGAGGGGAATATGACACTCTTCTCAAATATTCATTAAATAAGTAAGTGAGTTTAAAAATGCCTACAGTCTGAATGGCCACCTGCTGGAGGAGGTGGGACTGGGAAGTACCTAACACAGATTTAGCTGTTCATGCCCATCTGCAGTGATATGTAAAGTATACAATATTGAATTCTAGACCTGAATTTGCTTCTGGTTTGAATCTTCAATTCTGGGAGCCTAGAGAGGTGACATGGGGAAAAACTAATAGCTATTATCAAAATCTAGCATTTAGTTTACAACCTTCTATGCTCAGTTCATTTTTTTTTCCTGATCTGCAAACCTATGATTTCTAATCACTTCCTGGCACTGTATCAGAGGAAGACAGCAAACCTGCTTCATCTGTACTGAAGCTGTTACTGAAGAGATAACCCACTGAATTACTGCTGAGGTCAGGAAACCTCTTCCTAGGGAAGGTAGTCTATTACACGTCAGTGCCATAGGTCTATTGGGCTCCAAAACCACATTTAGAAACTTAAAAAATTCTTATCAGAAATAAGCTTTTTGAGACAGGCAAAAAAGTTTACTACAACAGATAATACAGCAATCTAAATGCTGCAGAAAGACGCTTAATGATTCAAATGTCACTTCTTGTGATTACTGCAAAATATTTGTGTAGGACATGATAGCTTCTCAGAGGCACAACCCCCTTTCATAATCTCTTCTTGAGCAATTTAAGCTTGCACTGCTCAAAATGATATATTTCTGATATATGATAGCCATCCTTTGATTTAAAGGTGATACTATGAACACTTCACCATATTAGCCACAGAGTCCTCTGAAACAGAAAGTAGTTGGCATTTTCCTTCTTTTTAATTGCACATAAAAAAACAACATTCCACATGATCAGTCCCATAAAGTTGCTAAATTAAAATAAAATCTTGGTAACATTTGTTTTACTTTACTACATTAATCTAGATAACATCTAATAAAAACCTGACAGTTGCAGGGGAGAAAAAAAGAAGTAAAAACCATCTACATCTTCAAACACAATAAAAAAAATTCTTTCTAGTCTCTGTTAATGTATTCAGCCTTCAATGAGAGAAGAGAAGATACAGATATCATTATTATTCAAAAACTCCATGCACAGTCAAAATTATAACACCACTGACTGGTATTATATAACAGATACAAGTTTTAACCAAATACCTAAGTATCTGTTAAATATTGACGCAGTATGTATGCTCTTCCTAAAATTGCTGTTTTTTTGTAGCTCTGATGGTGTGATTTCTGAGATCTGCAACTGCTTACAGTACTGTGTAAAATTCCTTGAGATTATTTCCAAAGCCCCAATGACTATGGGGACCACTGAAGTGTGATTCTTCCAGAGGCAAGATATTTTGATTCCCAGGTCTCTGTACTCTGTTAGTTTTTCCAATTCTTTATTTTCAACTCTGGCATCCCCTGGAAATGCAATGTCAATGATACAGACATTTCTTCATTCTATTACTACTATGTCTGATGTGTTATGTTCAAGGTGTTTGTCCATTTGGATCTGGAAATCCCACAAGATCTTGATTTCCTCATTTTCTGACACCTTCTCTACCTGATATTCCCATGGGTTTTTGGAGGCCGGCAAGTTATATTTTTTGCATAATAACCAGTGCACTAGCTTTGGCATTCTATCATATCTAACTTTGTAATCTGTTTTCAAGTTTATGGACATTCACAGATGAGGTGTGACATGGTTTCATCTTTTTCATGGCAGAGTTGACATTTGCTGTTAGCACTAACTCCTTGGATCTTAGCTTTCATCATGTTGGTTTGGAGTGCTTGTTCTTGTGAAAGATCAAGCCTTGAGTTTTTTTCTGTTTTCCCCAGTTTTAGCCATGCCCATGTTGAATTATGATCATGCTTTCCATCAATATTTCTCAGGTATTGTCCATGTAGTGGTTCATTTTTCTGGCTGTTTAATTTCTTTTCAAATTGTTTTTTCTTATACTGAGCCTTTGTTTCTGCTGTTTTCAAAAATATTCTCCATTTTCACTGCTTTCAGTAATTTTTCTCTGCTTGTACTGATATAATAATTTAGGCTTCTTTTTTCTTCCCCTACTACCTCCTGTATTTGCAGTAATCCATAGCCTCTGATTTTTTGTGGTATATATAATCAGTCCACATCACTTTTTGGATGTAGTGCATGATACATATTCATAAGTTCCCATGTTTTTCAATCCAGG